TATTTATAGAATGATATTTGATTGACATGTTTACGCCACGCATTTCATACCGCACGGGTTTTCCCTGAGTTTTTATAATCAGGGCTTGCATTTCCGGCAATTGTTTTATGGTTGAATCTTCACGAAACAATTACAAATTTTAAATATAGACAAGCAAATTATATTTGCGTGTATATCTTGACTGTTATTTAATGGAGGCCTCTAAAACTTAGCTAAACTATAAAAACAAAGTATAGTATAAACGTAGCCCTGTTGTTTTAAATGTCAGAAACTATTATTAGCTCATGACTCCATGTACAGACGTCTAATCCCACGTCTTTGAATCCACACATTTTATAGCCTTAATTAATTATTTTCTTTAAATTGTTCTTAAAAGTAATGAACTGTATGAATAGCAGATATTTAGCTCCAGATAAAAAGAAACATTTTTGTATGATTGTAATCGGTTGCCGTGATTCGGGATATAAATGGTTCTCGTCCTCTTAATTTAGAAGTCACTGGTTAAATGTAAATATTATATCTGAAGCAGGCATATAATTTCAACTAGCACAATTTCGCACAATTGCTGTAAAAATGTGATTCCGAGAATGCAACATCAATGCAGTAAAGGCCTGATTCCACGAGCGTTTTTTCTCGGCGAAATGCGAAACATTTCTACTTACTGCGAAAGGGGACAAAGTGGGCCAATTCAATACAATCGCTCATGTGCAACCACCGTATTTCGCAGACACAAGTTCTCGTGACGAATTTCGCCGTCGTGGAATCAGGCCTTAATGTCCAGACACACCGGACGCGATTCGACAACGCGACGCGATTTTTCAGTTAGTTTGAAAAACAGCCAATGAGAGCAAATCAGTTAGAAACATATGTAGACCAAGTAACTTAAAATGTTATAGCGCATCTAAATATTTGGAAAATTTAAACTTGGATCAAAGTTATCGGTCAGTGAAAATCGAAAAATCGCGTCGCGTTGTCGAATCGCGTCCGGCGTGTCTGGACCTTTAATGCGCAGATACATGTACGCGGTCGCGTACCTATTTTTTTATCTCATTTTTTGTTATTATTTGTTAGAATTTTAAACTATTAACCGTCGTATATTCAGCTGATTCAGTTAAGGTTCTCCTTCCAAAAACTTGAATCTTAAACTCTGAGCGCGCAAGGGATGATGTGTTTTCACCTATTAGGCCCTTAAACTCAGAAAATTGCCTTTGCAGCAAGTATGTTTTCTGTCGTGAGTCTTCTGTATGCCTTAGTTATTCTTGCAAAGTCAAATTTCAAAGTTTATGAGTCTATAAATAAGCAATAACCCATCATCCCTTGCGCGCTCAGAGTTTAAGCACAGTGGTTTAAGGTTTACGTTTTTGGATAGCCTGCGTAGCAGGCGGTATTCGCGGGCACGAGATTATAGGAATTCTAGCTTCTACCGCCTGCTACGCAGGCTAGTTTTTGGAAGGACAACCTTCATTGAATTAGCTGTATACCATTGGATTAACTTATGTGGAAACTAACTTATATATATCTGTATTGACGATCCTGTCAGATTCAACTGCATGCATGAGCGCGAATCTTGCTCAAAATCCAGTCTAAAGTTAAAATCTCGGTTAAAATTAAGCGCCATTGAGCTATAGGAAATGGCGCTATAGAAATACATGTTATTATTAAACTTATCGACGCTGTTGTCTGTAGTATGCGGTAAATCCAAACGGTAAATCATATAAGCGTAAATGGACTCCATGATCGCAACTTGACTACATTTCGCCCCTAAATTATACGCCATTTTCTAATTCGGCCGTTCCAGGAATGTTGTCGACAATAAATTCGATCACTCCACCAATTGCAATATTACGACAAGGCCGTCGGAAGTAAATCAATATTGGGGGGGGCGTGCTCAAGAATAAATCTGAATTGCTTTCGCACTTTTCTAGTTCTTTTGTTTTGCTTATACAAATGGAAACAGCACCCTCGCTTCCGACGGCCTTGCTTCGCTGATACCTAAAACAGAAAATGAAATAGAAATTGGCCCAAAAATTTGTTATATTATAAATCTCGCATTTTGGCAATAACTTTATCATTAGTTCTGTCTATCAGCTTTATTGCACACAATATAGTAGAAATATTTATAAGTCCAATGGGGATAGCGCAAGCGGTACAACGAGACCCATGCTAGGCGCAACCCCTAAACTAATATTAAATTAGTAATAGAATCCCCCCCCCCCTCAAAAAAAAAAATCTAATTTACTATACAAATATATATTACATAATATGCAGATTAAGTACGGTGGCAGGGGCAGTCTTTTGTGAGCGACCAAGTGCATGCCATATCAACATTAAAAGTACTGTTGACCAACGCGGTGTATGTCACATGCAGAAAGCTTTTAAAAATAGCGAAGCTGGCGAACTGTTCAGGAGAGGCTATTTTTCCAACATTCCAAGTTTTAACTATTCGGTTAAAGAACGATCCTTGGAAAGTGGATGTTCTGCAGTATGGAGATTTTAACATTAGAGATGGATTCTGAGTATGAGTTTGATTATGATGTATAAATGAAACAAAATGTTCAAATCAGTGTAGCCGAAAATACATTTATGAACCAGATCTCTGATTTCTCGATCGTATAAAGCTATAATGGCAATAAATTGAGAGGGTTTTCAGTCTATCTTCATGAGACATTTCTCCAAATTTACTTTTTAGAATCCAACGTGTAGCGCGCCTTTGAACTCTTTCTAATGCAACTTGTAACTTCACATTAGCTGGCGACCACACCTCCGTTGCGAAGCACAACTTTGATTTTACCAAAGTCAGATATAGTGTTCGCTTAACTTTAGTGTCTCTAATCAGGGGACAAGTTCTGTTTAAGATACCAAGCATCATGTTGGCTTTACTGACGATCGAGAGAATGTGGGAGTCCCAGGAATCCTATTCAATCTCACAAATGGAGATCTCATTTGGGAATCTATTCAATGGAGATCTCATCAGTATAAGATTGTGAGTGTACTTTTTAATGTGTACTATTATTTTATGGCAGCAAACTGTTTACCAGTATCTTACAGTAATTGCGCCAGGATTCTTCCCCATATAGTCAGGAATGACCATATACCCGTAACGTAACCAATGATGAGGAGATTTCGAAGATTAATATATGCAAGTTCGAGATTGCCGTTATTAAACCAATCGTACTGTGAACAGAAAATTCCACCAATCAATAGCCTGCGTAGCTGCGCAGACTACCAATCAAAGGATCAGGAGTGGTAGAAAATAATAAATGTAAATAGCAATGGCCATTGCGAATAGTTCAAATAAGATCTGTCAGTGGTGGATTTAGGGGGTGGGGGTGCGCACCCCCCCCCCGCCAGGCTCTGGTCAACAGGGGTGCATGGGGGGGGTTGCAAAAATGACGTTTATCCTAATTCTAACCAACTTATGTTAAGGAATTCAGTTGCGTATCACTAGTTGCGACAATAGCGGAATAGCCAATATTAAATATTCTGAATTTTTAAATGTTTTGAGTATCTAAAAATTTTCCAGAATGTTTTCTCAGAATGCTGGAAATGCCATTTCAGAGACCCAAATTTTAAAAATTTTCCGAGGGAGTATGCCCCCGGACCACCCTAGAAATTCGCCATTGGTTAGCACCCCCCAACAAAAAAACTTTGCTGGATCCACCACTGAGATCTGTCACATAATTTGAAGTTTGTAAGGAAATCGTCTCAATCTTTTACCGAAGTCTATTTAACAATTAGACAACGAGGCCGAGTTGTCTATGAGCGAATAGTCAACGAGGCGAAGCCGAGTTGACTATTTGCTCATAGACAACGAGGCCGAGTTGTCTAATTGTTTTAGTATAAACTTTAACATTAATTTACAACTAGGCTGCAAACACAATACAAAAATACACAACAAAAACATAAAACCATTAAAGGTAAACAAATATTTGTTTTTGTTCGTGTAAAATGTTTTAAAAAATTCAGTTTTAATTTTAAAATTTCATTGAGTGTATGTTATTTTGTCTATTTTCTTACCCTTAAAAATTGCCATTCCATATTTTTGTTGCTTTTTCGTTTTTTTTTTAGTACAGAATTGTTCAACAAGTCGTCCAATAAATCATCAGACACTTCGGCAAAAGTGCAAAACGCGAATTTTCCGCCATTTTGAATTTTCTATTAGTAGGCTATCACTAATAGCCTACTAGTAGCGTAGCCAATCAGAAGCCACGATATGTGATAGCCTACTAGTAGGTTTATACTAAATATTAATATTACACTTATGTGAAGTAAAAAACAAATCCTGTATAGTCTATTTTCGTTTTGTTTATTTTCGTTTTGTTTTGATCACATGTTGATTATATTTCAGTCTACGCTGCATTACCAAACAAAATTACAAGTAGTATCATGTACCCACTTTATACAACATTGGATATTTATCACTACTATAGGGCAGGTTGTATGAAGCACGTTCAGCTAACCTAGTGGGTAAGCCTATAGAATAAAGAACAAGAGTCTACAGAGTACAGTAGATTTATCGAAAAGCCAAAATTCAATTTTCAACTTCTTTACTGTACAGTGTACCGTTAACTCATTCACAGTATATGAACGTTACAGGGTACTTTGGCATATCCAGCTTTTAAGCTAATCGGGCTTTCTAAAAATGGCTGTAAAAATCTGTACAGTACATGCCTTATCGTGGACAGAACGTTTTATAAATAATCGTTAAAAATCTTAAATAGTATAAGACAATCTTTGTATCCAAGGGTAACGCACAGTCACACACATAGTAAAATGATGATTGTACAGTATAGGATATACAGGTAAAAATATCTTATTTCTGAGGAAAGTGAATCAGTGCTTTGACAGCCGTGAGAATTTCATCCATCTTGTCAACGCCTGCAAAGGGAAACAAAATCTTTGTATTTAACTACTGTTTTATTTCGAACTTTTGTTTTTTGTCGTTATGAACTAACCACTACCTTGAACCTCATGCCCTAATGGCGGACAGGCTTAAGGCCTGGTCACAGTCACACTACACAACGATAACTTCGTTATCGTCCGACTGAAAACAAAATCGCTCGGGTGAGCGATTTTAAAATCGTTATCGTCAAATGATAATCTTATCATTTTCGTTGTAGTGTGGACACTCATTCACGCCTCGTGCATTTCGCCTATTTATCTCGTTATTTTATACGGAAGGGTTCCGTCCAGTCGGGTGGCACGAAGCCACGAACACCAACACAATTTAACACCAAATTTACATTTCACTACTTACCTAACAAGTCGTACAACTGGGATACCAGCGATTGAAATGCAGGGAAAAATTCGTCGTACTCCTCAAGACGTTTGATGATACTAAAACAAAATATATACTCATTACTTAGATTTTCTTTCTGCATGTTTGGAATGTACATATTAACACATGTTAGGACATGCATGCATTGCCTACACTTGTAAAAATCTCACATCTTGTAGCAAGTCTGCCAACAAGTTGTCTTCGCACTGCTTGTCCCAATTTGTCAACAAGTTTGGAACAAACTGTTAACAACTTGTAACAACCTTGTTGATATTATCAGACTTGTTGCAAGGTTGTTCCAACAAGTCTGATACAGTCATGATATAACAATATTGTTACAACCTTGTGTCATCAACCTTGTAACATTCCTGTTATATCATGACTGCATCAGACTTGTTAGAACAACCTTGTAACATTAATCAAAAACTTTTTTGAAAATAATTTTGAAACAAATGATAGCGATATTACATTTATTAAACGACGTTTCGATGCTACAGCGTGCATCATTTTCAAGTTATAGTATTACATATATTGCGTTGATTTAAATTAAACCGTTCGTGTCACGTTAGCAAATTATTGCGTAAGCATGCAAAATTTAAATTTATATGACGTAATAAATTACATAAATTTCATTTAAAAGAAAACATAAAACAGATTAAACATATTTCTGTCTTTCATAAATATATAACATGTACACAAAAAACAACAACAAACAAACATACTAAACAAAACAAACATAAAGCCCATTAATTATAGGACTAAGTATAAAGTTTTGAACGAATCGAGTCCGATTGAGTGTTCAAGGACGGCGATAGTTCCTTAATATACAGCATTTCGTATAGAAGACACTCATACTTTCCTTGGCATTTTCATAGAATTGAAAAGCAACCTTCAATTCTCGACGCATCCTCTTCGTGATCTTCCCTCATATGTTTCCCGATTACCGATCGCTTGTGCTCATCAATGCGCTGATGTAAGTGCCGACTAGTATAGCCAACATAATCTGCATCGCACAGATCACATTTATATCTATACACAACGCGTTGTTGATTTACAATTGGTGGTTTCATCTCGTGAACTTTAACTTCTTCTTTGATCTTTCTACTTTTAAATACTGGCTCTAATGCTCTACCAATCACCGTACCAAGGCCTGCGAGTTGTCTTCGCACGATATCAGACGACTTCTGATCTTTAAACGGCAGGGCCACGCAAATCACATCTCTTTTCACATACTCAGTTGGGGTCGAGCTGTTCATTTCTGCGTATTTCTTGGTTACAAACTCAGAGATGATTGAGTCAACGAGTCTGAGAGGATATCGTAGATTGGCAAAAACGCTCTTTAGACGATCACACTCTTCCACAAAGTGTTTCCAGGATGACGATAAACGGAATGCACGGTTTAGCATGGTAGTAATCAATAACCTTGTAACAAGTCTGATAATGCCATCAAGCTTGTTACAAGTTGTTAACTGCTTGTTCCAAACTTGTTACAACAACTGGGAACACGCAGTGCGAACACAACTTGTCGACAGCATGTGAACAGATTTGTAACAACGTGTTTGCAGACCTGTAACAACTTGTGCGTTTTTACGTGTGTAGCTTATCAATCGAACGGCACTAAGACACTGGAAGCTCTGAACTAATCGTTGATAAACGTGATAAGATATCAATTTCATGAACTAGAAAACATACCCAGGTAAATCCTGAAACTTCAAGTAGTGCTTTGCTGTTTGAATCTTTCCAATGGCATTCACAATTTCCACCGAGTTTGCATTTGGTGCTGTAAGGAAAAATGGCTTTTAAATTTGTATCATGAACTGTGAGCAACACTGGGGGAAGGGAGGGAGAACCCCAATACTTTCCCATGTCAAATATTTCTGGGATGTTGGTGAGAGTTGTAGACCAGAAACAGAATCTTTTAGGCCTTACAAAGAATTATCACAAATTCTCAATAACGTTCTTAATTTTTAATATGTTTGTGAGCAAATACATATATCCTGCCATCCGCCATTTTGCCTTGAAACTAGATCAAATGGCGGAATGTACAAATACTTTGTTTAAAATGAAGTACAGTAGACTAATTTTATACCAAGTTCAATACGGAAAATCGGTTTTCGGATCAGTTTGCAATGTGACAAACGCCTCTTCCAAATTTCTATTTCCCAAAGGTGGAAAGTGTATCGGACCACGGAACCATTTGGTCCCAGAAAAAAATTGAAGTTTCCAGAATGTTTTAAGTAATAATGAACTTAAACAAAAAAAAAGATAGAAACAAACAAAACAATTGAAGGACGGGTGTAATAGATGGACTTTCTTACAGGATGGTAAGGGTGATCAAATTAGACCATTTAGACTGACTCGATAGCCAATCGCATCTATACACTTTTCCGTTCTTGCTAAGTTAACCATATGCAAGAATATTGGCAGGACATTTTTTGTTCTGTCATTGCGTTCACAGAAAGAAACGTTTTTGTAACTTTTTTCAGACCAGCTTTTCCCCCTTTAAGAACTACAGCATATATGCCAGTGAACAATATACTGTCCTGATCGACCTGATGCAGTACATCATATTCACAAACCTAAATCGAGAGTTTCTCTGATAGTCTTCATCACATTGTACGTCTCTCCTACTTTGCTGTAAACTTCGTTCATTCTTGGAAATATACCCGTAATACTTTTAACATCGAACAATTTCTGGAAATGTGCTACAATGCTTTTTAACTGTTCCATCGAGGCAGGATCATCCTCTCGTAAATCAGAAGCCTTAGCTCGATCGTCATTCATGCTGATCTTCTCTAAAGCTTTCTTGAGATCATCAACACTAAGATCGTTCTCATTGCCTTCGACAAACAAATCCTGCGCAGGTTTCCAAGGAAAAATGTTTTGAGATAAACGCGTGATCTCGTCTTTCAGTGCCTATTAAAATATAGAGAAATTCGGAATTAACATACTAACGATGAATGTGTATGGTACCTATAGGCCGAAAAAGATTGGACTACGAAACGCAGCCGAACCTCGACGAATGATGCTTACGGTATTATAGACGAACTACTATAGGCAAACTGTGCATAGAGATTATAAATAACAGTGTTATTTATAATCTCTATGCAAATGTGAAGCATGATAGACAGAACCATTGCTAGTATACAGTAGATACTGCTATCCAAGTTTACACAACGATGCGTCTTGAACTGTTAAATTATGATGATGTGATTAAACGTGATATTTTGTCCTGTGAATATCTGAGAACCTGGCAGAGAATTTAAATCAATGCTTTATAGCGTCCAAGAAAGAAAAAATCCACCTCTGTGAAATCATCAGTTTACCTTCAAGCTCTTTATTTCACTTGACCACTTCTTGAGCGTTGGTAAGATTAGTTTCCAGGCCTTTTCACAATAAACAGAATGATCACGTGGTTCCGTGCTGTCTGATATATCATCAAGCAACTGATACGGAACATTCTTTATATCTATCACTTGCAAGATTCTTCGTATTAACTACATTAAAAGAAAATCCTCTATAGCATTAATCTTCATTAACATAAACCGTTCATTTGCTTTGTGGGAAACACCACGATTATTAATTTGGCAAATAAATAATCATGGTGCAGTTCTTCACAAAAAACTGGATTACTATACTTACAAACCTACAAGGAACTTCAACCTGATTCGTATTGAATTTTTTTATTGTAACAAAGATTGTAATTCCTACTAGGTAGCCTTTCATAAACCATATATACCTTAAGAAAACGTAACCCAATTATTCCTAAACTCTAACACTATAAATAAACTCTAACCTTAAATAAACCAAAACCTCAAATAACTCCAATATACCCCAAATACCTCTAAGACTAGTACCTTCTTAACCCTATTGGCAATATTGTACTTTAAATTTAGCCCTAACCCTTATATCCTAACCTAACCTGAAGAAACCATTAGTACAAATATTTCTTACTTTAAGTAACCGTAATCCAATGTTAACCTTAACTCTTAATCAGACCAACTAAAAACGTACCGCTTCCATCTTCTTTTGTGTTTCACCAAGAGAGACGAAAGAGTCTAAAAGTGGGTTGATTTCTTTCAAGTCGTTGATGTTCAACCTCATGCATATTCGCTGGAAAAACAAAGCGATGCTTTCATCATGAACATTTAATAAAATCTTCACTGCACTTAGGTCGAAACTTAAAAAAAGCATTTCATTGTATGATTACTTAAACAAAATCATTAACTGTCTAGTGGCTGAAGAGAAAACTATTCTGTTTCTATCATCAAGAATTTTTATCGTACTTCTAGGAAGATACAAAACTATGACTGACATTATTTAGCAATTAACTATAAATTTATATCGAATTAGTGATCAAATACCTTAATATACTTTCTGCACACATTGATGGGTAGAAAATCAATGTCTTTAATCTGTGAAAGGAAAATATACAAAGGCTCTGCAACTAGTTTTCTATATTGTTCTGTGACACCCAAGCTGCATGATAGGGTTGATCATAACTTTTATTAAAAGATATCAAATTATAACTTTTATTAAAGTCATTATCAATATTATTATTAACAGTTATTATAATGTGTGAAAGTTCTCCGGATTGATATTACAAAGAATCGAGCTAGAGTCTATGACGTACTGTGGGATAACAAGTTCTTAGCATTTTTTCTGTGTTGGTGTTGTGTACTCAGGTGAATATGATGTTTGTGACGTTACTCTGAGTGTATATCCACACCGGGCGAGCTTGAAAAATATGCCCGGCCACGGTGGGAATCGAACCTACGACCTTTGGAACCGATTCCCACAGTGGCCGGGCATATTTTTCAAGCTCGCCAGGTGTGGATATACACTCAGAGTAACATCACAAACATCAAGTTCTTAGCACTATGAAAAAAAGCAAATGAAAGAAATTGGATTCTTTTTGGGCTAACGACCAATGGTTTACATTAACTTAAAGTAAAATATTTTATGACAGTATAACATGCACGTACATGAGTTTTATGCTTTACTGATTTCTTATCATTCAGTTCCTTAGTTCTTCTACTTGAGCTACTAAAAAGGTGTAAGTATTATAATTAATCAGGAAGGTATAGGGGGTTTGCTGATATTCTACATACTTGCAGCTGAGAGCTGAGCTGAATAGGAAGGAGTGGAAGGACACAACTCAACCTGATCAATTCTGGGCGCCTCTGGCGGTCATCGTATATATGACTCATGTCTCACCACCGGACACAGCTACGATGGAAAGGTTAGTTTAGAATTATCCCAACGCATCCGGTCAACATTTCCTGTTGGAGCAAACCGGAGTATCTGGAGAAAACCCACGACTTTCGGTAGAGCAGTAGACTCTTCACGTAAGACTGATAAGAGTCGTAGCTATGTTCGCAGCACTAATCCAAGCCAACGATTTCAAAGTTGAAAGGCATTCGCTCTGACGACTTCGTGTGTCATCGAAGCCCTGACTAAAGCAAGAATGGATTGAAAACGAGTAACACAAAAATGAGACAAAGGCCAGAGCATTAAAAAATGATCCGATAATGCGAAATGTGCCCGAACGTTAATCAAACGTGAAAAAGGGCTGAAGGATATTTGATAACCAATAAATATTTCACGCTGCTGTGAATGACTGCATATGTACGGAAGCTACATACCTGGAAAAAATCGGAAGAGTCCGACTCTTTGCAATTCTCACAATCTTTAATAACAGTAAAAGACTGTCTTATTGATTGTCCTGTAAATATTTCACTAAAAGTAAAAGTCACCTTAGGTTGTTTTCCATCAGAATTCTTTCAAGTTTTTTGTTATATTTCCACGCCTTCCTCCATTCATCTAAACCCGGTCTAGAATACAAAGTGAAATATTGTCCAGTTTTCATTATCGCACAGCACTATACTTTTCAACTCCTATTTTCGGGGAAAGCGGAGGAAGAGAGCCTGGCGTGCGAGGTTGCCAAGAACATACAACGGTTCTTCCAGTGTTCTCCATTACCTTTTTGTGAGTTCTGCTTTCAATTTATTATTTTCATCTTCCAACAAATCAATCAATTTCTTCGACTCTTCGACATGCCTTTCAGTCGTCTAATTAATAGAAAAGAGTATGTGTGAATACTGCAAAAGCATGAAAGTTTGCGAAAAGTATCTGGATCAGTCGAAGTGCCAATTCAACAAATTGCTACAAACAATCGTTATGGCTAGAGACCTTGCTTATACGTGGCATATAAACATGAATAATTATGCTTTAGCGATCACGGTAGCTATCTGCAGGCTAATTAGTCTATGCAATATCCACCATTTTTGAGGTACGGTCATAATTCCCGCGTCAAAGAATCTAGACAATCTAACAATGTGAAAAACGACTTGTCGCATTTCGCTGTGTGTGCACTCTCAGACATGGAAGAGGCAGCACCTCCAATGGCGGATAAACAGCGCAAGATAAAGACTAATTAAGATAAAGACTAATTAGCGACTAAATCAGCGCAAGATAAAGACTAATTAGCGTTTTTCCAAAAGAGATCACAGTGCATTCTGGGATCGTTTGGAGGGACAGAATATATGGTGACAGGCGTCAAATATGTGAAAGTATCTACTATCAAATATCAACGACCAAAAATGAAATATCTCCATGGATGACGCTATCCTGCACAGAAGCCTATTTGGTATTCCTTTATTTATGTCTGATTCAGTTTCATGTCTTTATTCATGCCTGATTCAGTTTCATGTCTTTATTCATGCCTGATTCAGTTTCATGTCTGATTCAGTTTCATGTCTTTATTCATGTCTGATTCAGTTTCATGCCTGATTCAGTTTCATGTCTTTATTCATGTCTGATTCAGTTTCATGTCTTTATTCATGTCTGATTCAGTTTCATGTCTTTATTCATGTCTGATTCAGTTTCATGTCTTTATTCATGCCTGATTCAGTTTCATGTCTTTATTCATGTCTGATTCAGTTTCATGTCTTTATTCATGTCTGATTCAGTTTCATGTCTTTATTCATGCCTGATTCAGTTTCATGTCTTTATTCATGTCTGATTCAGTTTCATGTCTTTATTCATGTCTGATTCAGTTTCATGTCTTTATTCATGTCTGATTCAGTTTCATGTCTTTATTCATGTCTGATTCAGTTTCATGTCTTTATTCATGCCTGATTCAGTTTCATGTCTTTATTCATGTCTGATTCAGTTTCATGTCTTTATTCATGTCTGATTCAGTTTCATGCCTGATTCAGTTTCATGTCTTTATTCATGCCTGATTCAGTTTCATGTCTTTATTCATGTCTGATTCAGTTTCATGTCTTTATTCATGTCTGATTCAGTTTCATGTCTTTATTCATGCCTGATTCAGTTTCATGTCTGATTCAGTTTCATGTCTTTATTCATGTCTGATTCAGTTTCATGTCTTTATTCATGTCTGATTCAGTTTCATGTCTTTATTCATGCCTGATTCAGTTTCATGTCTTTATTCATGTCTGATTCAGTTTCATGGTTTCATATCTGATTCCTGTTCTGTTAAAACTACTTTTAACCCTATACACTACTTGTCTCTATTTGTGTTGAATTCTTCATGTTAATGGATATGTATTTTAGACAAAAAGGTTGTAAAGTGAACAAATACAAAATAATAAAGAACATTATTCTAGCTGTTGTTGAGTGTTATCTGTGATTGTTGTCTACCTCTCGTAAAATTAATTACCTTTAATTTCTTTTGAAGAAACTTCGAACTTGGCATGAGATCTGTCTTACTAGCCTTTCCTTCCAGCATATTTTCACTATGCAGTGTTTCAGGCGTGGATTCAAGATTTCTTGGAGTTGACTGTCCACCATCATCCAGCTCACTGGCAGTCGTGGGCGAATCTTGATTGGGTGGGTGGTCATCATCAAGGTCTTTTTCTACAATATTACTTGTTTTGCTGTCTTGACTAGTGAAACAACAATACATAATGCATTAACTTCTTACGCTGCTTCAACTTCTTGCTTCCATACTCTGCATCAGCTCTGCTCATTTGAAGAAGGAAGATCAAGTCCATATTTAAATTGTTGATCCTATGAGATGGGTCAGTGTGTATCACAGACAAGAAAGTGGCAGTTTTCTTTGTGAGAGGATTTAGACAAATGCATAAAATGTCGTATGGTGGACAATGAACAAAGACGAAAGATCAAGTCCATTTTGAATGTACACTGTGCATTTTCAATAGCTATGCGTATTTTAAACATTCACAAAGGTATTTTAAACATTCACTAAAATTTACTAAAACTAACAGGCGCATAAGTTCAATAGAAGTACCGTACTGAACAAGAGAAAAATAAATATATTAGTCTACCTGTTTGAATCATCTTTACCAAACTTATGTTTGGGAAATACAGACGTCCTTCCTTGCCTCTCTCTTTCCTATAGTTTAAGGACAATAATTACGCGAGCGGCTCTTCACTAAACTATACATGTTAATTGTAATTCCTTTTTTTGGTCCCAGATCCTAACTATATTAGTTGATACGGACTTTTTGTGCGAGGGGGTGATTTCCAATATGAGGTTTGTACACTCCTACAACTCACACATCTTTCAATAACGCGATTCCAGAGTAATGCATCTTGTATAAATGTTTACAAACCATTGCAACCAATTCCTGATTTTGATATCGTAGTTCAACAATTTCCTGTTCCATTTCAACACATTTTTGTTCAAGAACATCACATCTTGCTTGTACGTCAGCCTTGGCGATGCTCGTCGCTTGCATTTCTTCACCATGACTTCGCACTTCATCTAGACGTTTTTGTTCAAGTTCCTACGTGTAAAATATGGAAACCCAAGATGCGCATTGTTTAACTTTTGACGTCAGTTAAACGATTACACTGAGCCGAAAGAATAGGGTATTTTACCTATTCTATTGACCGTATTTCAACTTTTCGGCAATTTGCATGCAGTCAAGAAATCCAAGCCCAGATCAACAAAAAGTTCATTGTCTTGAATATTACTACTTATATAACCAACTTGCTATTACTAGGAACAGAGCAATCCTGCTTAGGCAATGAGATTTCACCAGGAAACGACCTCAATGGCAACTTCGAATGTCTATCAGGGGGATTAACAAAGCCGGTGAATGATATCGCTACATTTTCATGTCACGTAGTCAGGAAATATAGTGTCTAGGGTTAGGAGACTCTACTATATATACTACATACTGCATAACCGTTTAGCGGCGAGTTGCATGACTGCACACTTGTCTTGTCTTCAAGAACATCCAGTCAAAATTATTCTGAGCGAAATCGAAGGGTTGAAAATTGTTCATACTGTTATTAATTCTGATATTATAATCTATATTATCATTCTTTTGAATTGAGGTCCAGGGACGTAGCCATGGTGTTTACTTGAAGTGGTGGTGTCGGATAGGCTTGTGATGGGGAGGGGGGGAGCCCAATCATAGGCCTACAGTATCCCTAACCAAATTGTACACAAAATCTGAGAAAATAACCCACATGAAAACGAGGCCATTGCACAAGATTGCATTAAACAGTACAGTGTATATGCACGATGAAAATACATCTACCTGAATTTGTGATTGCTGGGATTTTAGTTCTTTGCGAAGTCGACCAACCTTAGAAAAAATGCTCCATGCATTAACATTGTTTGGGTTTGAAGAATATAAATTGTACAATATCTCCCAAAAAATAGTGCCTAGAACCGTGCAGAACAAGTACCTCTCTATCATAACGATACGCTTTATCGCTTTTCGCATTTACTTCCTCTCTGAAAATAAAAAAATATTTATTCAATTTAAGTTATCACCACTGTAAATATTGGGTCAACTTAAACAATCTCAATTTAAATATAATTCTAACTCTAATTGTACAATAACCCTAATCATAACGTTCCTTAACTCTTATCGATCCTAACCTAATGTTTACCCTTAATCGTACCCTTCATCTTTGGGACGTCATAATACTAATACTTGCATGTGGTTTATTTACGCATTCAATTGCGCACACGGGTAATAATTATTAAAATCCTTACAACAGTAACGGATGCTTATTATAAATACTAGAAATTATTTACAGCTTTAATTACAGGTATGTAAAAACTAACTCTAATATCATGCACTATAATATTTACATCCTAGTGAAAATACTTTAATACTTTTAGAAATATCAGTTCAATTTAAAGTTTGTAGATAATAGACGCCTCTCTCTCTTATAAACGCCCACCTTCCAAAGTTTAAATAAACGGGCGTTTATTAGAATAAAAACGTTAATGGAGGAACATTCAATTTTAATAACCGCATACATGCAGTGGTAGAAAGATGTTCGCAAACCAGAGAGTCACGGGCGTGTCAATAAAATGCATATCATTAAAATACAATAATTTATAACACTCTATGTACAAATGACACTTACTGTAACTTATTTGAAGAAGTGATGAGTTCTTGCACTAATGCTTGACGTCGTTCGCAGTCGTCCAAGAGTTTCTCAATTGTGTTTCTGAGCATGTGAGCTTCAGCCTCATCAAGAAAAACCCCTGAAAAAAATGTGGAATTTATACACAGCAAGGTTTATCAAATTATAGAGAAAGAACTGATGTCAAACATCATCATCATTCAATACCCACCACACGGTCTTGAAAGCAGTTTTTCAGCTTGCCCGGTGTGGAGCCACTAGCTTGTGCAGTACTTACCGTGATCTATTAACTTAATTAGTTAATTAAAATGCATGTACGGTGTATTTCCAGAAGTATGTCATGCAGTATGCCGTATTGTATAATCAAGCAAATTAAAGTTTTTCCTTTTGTGCAGATGTGGCAAAATGAGAGCTAAAAATGTTCGATACTTTGAGCATCTCGCTGGATATGGATTGTAGCACATTGTCAATGGGAACAATGTTTATTCAACGGTTTTTTCGATTTTACATATTTAGGACCTAGCCAGGAAGGGGGAACAGCTGCGAAAAATACCACTTACCGACAGCATACAGTACGGGGTCATGCATTTAGTACGTGCTAGAGGTGTGCATCGGATCGGATTGGACGATTATAATCCGACAATTGGCTAATGTTTAAAATCCAATCCGATCCGATATTGTCTAATCCGAATGCGAGTTTTGATTCAAGTGGAAATATTTAACGAAATAAATATAAAAGCAAGAAATACATGTTAAGAAGCTGACAAAGTGCATGATTCAGTGCATGATTCTGGATAATTAATTCATTTTATTTCCAATATCGCAGTCCGATCCGACTACGAAACAACAGTTTATTAATCCGATCCAATCCGAAATGAATATTTTTGTTCCGAAATCCGAACGAATTCGATTGGATCGGATTTGCACACCTCTAGTACGTACGCAACAAAAGCAATAAAGCTTTGCGTATATGTACGCCTATTGTTTATTATAAATGACGTCATTTCTATTGTTCTTTGCGTACCAGGGAAGGGTACAATTTTCGAAAATTTTTGCGTACGCACTAAACGGATGGCCGCTATGCCGTCTCCTCTAAAACCATTCCAGCGTGATCAAATAATATTTTAAATATTGTACCTGACTGCACGTCGGAAACTTGACTCGGAGGGATTGGTCTAATAGAACGAAACCCATGTTGCTTTAAACGATTGTTTACATTAATCCAGTCTTCAGCATCCTCCTATTTATACACAGATAAAAATTTATACTTAGTTAACGTCAGACTTAAATATTAGTTAAAACGAAATTATTAAAAAACACGAAAAACTTGACAAAAGTGTATAAATTAAGATTTAAGAACAGTATACAGTACAATTAATAATGAATTTTTATGAGCGCAATGTTAAAATTCATTAAGTGAGAGATGGTTTTTTTTCCATTCCACGAGGCAACAGCCGTGTGACATCCTTCGCACAAATTGCATTTTGAATTTAATGAGGGAATATTTGGAGGATAGTACGATTAAGCTTTTCACGGAACGCGGTATCAATTTCCCGTGCGTAATACAAAATGACTGAAAAACGACAAACTTCGCAGGGCTATATTATCCGCATTTTATGGCATTTCGCAAAAAAGCCTCGGAATATTACTAATTTTGTGATGCTCTTTCAAGCTGTGATAAAATTTTTGTCTAGAATTGACTAGATCAAAATTTTGTTCATTAAGGAATAGGTCCATTGAATATACAGTACTGTTGACACTTTCAGTGATTATGGAAATTCGAGTAATAAGATAAACAAAACTTAAAGACTTTGACATGTTGCCGAATAAAAATTTAATTATATGTTGTTTTATGTTTGCTCTAGTTCCTTTGCACTGACCGTTTAATGGAGTTTCAAAACAACGAAAATTTAAGTTTGGGACCGTGGAAAAGGTGACCGCGTCCGCTTAATAGAGGTGACCGTCCAATAAAGGTCACTTAAATAGTATTTATATTATGAAACTTTCGGGTCATTTCCACATGACCGCTTAACAAAGGGTGACCGCTTAAGTACTGTTTAATAAACGAGCAGGAGTGTTTTATTAGGTTTAAAGCCACGAGCGCGCAGCGCGAGTGGCTTTAGCCCTAATGAAACACGACCTGCGAGTTTCTACGGCTTAGACCTACGGCTTCAAACACGACTACAAATTCAATAGATTTACTGCTTTATTAGTATTCTTTATATAAAAAATACTAATGCGGACACGATTACAATAGATACTGCCTTATTAGTATTCTTTATATAAAGAATACTAATTAGGAGTGTTTTATCAGGTTTAAAGCCATTGCACGTGATATATTATGGTTGACATGATTTGCCAATTGGCTTATGAATTATTAATGAGTGTTTGAATACAGGTTCGACTGTATGAGGAAAACGAATAATTAGAAAAATTAATGAGGAAAACAAATAATTCATTAATTATTCTAATTCTAATTATTCGGGGTGCGGAAAGATGGGAAGGGGAGGAATTTTCATGTCTTCCCATTTTCCTCTGCGCGCTCCGTAGCCTCTGTCCGTCTGCAATTCTACTCAACAGTATACAGTACGTGTAGTTACTATTCTAACTTACAAAGTACTCATCATGGTGTTGGTCTGCACTATTTGAATTTTCTGAAAGAGATAATAGATTATATACTTTGAATAACTTAATTTGTATTTTGTATAATATTTAAGTAATATATTATATTCAGCATTCGGGTGACCCTCAGAAACTACTAGGCAAATTGATAATAAATCAATAATTGTCAATTTTACCAGATCAGGGATTGGCAAATGTGTTCAAAAATGAAAGATCTATTAGCCAAAACTGCAGCAAAATCAAAAATAAAAATTTCTTGTGTAGGTCAAATATAAAACGTCCCGCAAATTTACGGTATTGATTTCAGAGAACGTATGGTGCGGCACATTGTGATAAACTTCAATATTGGCACAAGACAATCTCTACTTGAAAAACGCTTTTGTAAACAATAACTTCAATAAGTAAATTTTATAAGATGAAAAAAATTTCCTGCAAGGTCAGAAAATTTCGATATTTTGTTAAACATTTCCTGGAAGCAGTGTTGCTGGCGCTGCCAGACATTTTCCAGCACTGCAAAAATGTTAGCCAAACTTTTATTGATAGGTTTATGGTGTATTTTTTTCCAAAAAGAATGGCCCACGTAGGTTGAAAGAAAAGCCGCTGTCTGATTTTGTTCATGGTGGAACGAAATGCAATCTTTGTCTCTGGAGCATCTTTTATGTGGCAGAACTATTTTAACACCAAACATGTGTCCACTGCAAGTTTACATGATTTAGCTGTCCTCATAGCCATGTATTAAAATTTACGACTTCATGTTAGAGCCACAAAACTATCAACTGTCAGACAGCTCAGCCGGTATTTTATGTTTTTCTTTCATTTCCTGATTTTTTTGATCAATTAAGAAAAAACAATCAGTAGGGGGGTAGGAATTAAGCAGGGGGGTAGGAATGAAGCAGGGGTGTAGGAATTAAGCAGGGGTGTAGGAATTAACGGGGGAGGGGGCGACTCCCACAATGCGTCACCATGGTTGGCCCCGAGCTGGAAATTTTTTGAAAATTTGGAGTCTCCAGATCGTCGGAAAAGGCATTTTCAGGGTCTTTAGCACTTTTGTTAAACTTGTTCAAATTCTAACATTATGATTTGTAAGCTATAAATATGTTTACTATATGGTTTGCGACTAAGTTAGATGATAACTATTTGAACAAGTAAATACTGCTGCCTAACAAGCAGCATACACCAAAAACATCCAATGACAAAAGGCAAACAAAAATTGTTATTAAAATAGCAATAAACAATTGATATAATACAGTTTCAAATACTTCCAGTTTTGAGAATTTTGCAGTAATTTTTTATTATTTTTTTAAATCTAACAATTTTTTGGGGGGCCGAAAGCTATCCCGGGCCCCCCTTATAAAATATTGGGGACTGTGCGCTTCCTACGCCCCTGAAAAACGCCACAGCCCAAAAACTAGTATACTGACAATAATTGGTATAATTTTTCCAGATATGCTGATATCAAAAATATTTAGTATTAAATATCCTAGTACCCAAAAATTCTGCATCAGTCCCAGAAACCTGTTTTGAGTTATCTGTTGGACTTGCAGTTGCCTAAAAGTACAAGTAAAATATTAAA